CCTTTCCACATAGTGAATTGCTTTTCAGTTTACTTTCCTCTCTAAAGCAGCTCCTTCCACCTGATTAGTATTAAGTATAAGTGGAGTTCAAGGGACTTGTTTTTCCAGAATTGCTCAGAGGAAAGGGTGGCATTGCCAGAATTCCAGTGTTTGTTTTGCAGTGACACATGATTTCCCCACTAATTGAGATAAGCACCTGCTGTTAAAGATAACCAGTCTCCATTCCAGGTTGTGTCACAACCACATTCATGTCCCCAAAATGCAAGGTCTAAAGTACATGTGTGTGCAAGGGCTGGGAAAACACCTTGTGACCACCCTGAGCTTTGGTATGAAGGCACAACCCCAGCCCCAACTGAAATCTAAGTCAGGCTTTAAATATCTCTGTTTACTCCACTCAGTGGAGGTCAGCCAGTGGGTGTTTTTTTTTCTGTTATCAGAGTGAATATCATGAGAGGAATGTGCATTCTGATGTCTAGAGCTAATATAATTCCAATTTTATATTGGAATGTAAGGCAGATATTCTTCTGTCTTGAGCCTGAAGTTAGTTCAGTCTAGCTCTCAAAATGTGGGCATGACCACAATTAGGAAGTATTTTATCCTTTTCCTGCAATTTGTGAAATAAAAACCTGTCTAATAATTACTAATTTGAATTTTCCTATGGCTGATAACCACACTGGTTTTCTTTTCCTGATTATCTCCCTTCTTCTTCTTCTTCTAAGCCCTGGGAGGAATAAAAAATTTATTTCTATAACCTAAACCTGTACCTGTCTGAAAAGCTGTCTAAGCCAATACAAACCATGCAGGGGAAACTGTCTTTGGGAAATTATGTAAAAATTTCCTAGGTCACTTCTTTTACCTTCACTCCTTCCTTAGGGATTTTTTGGGTGAGGGGAAAATGAATAAAGCAGATAAAAAGCAGTTGGTGAGGTTAAAAGGCAGCAACTGCAAGAAGGGTGCAGAGTTTGAAGTGTTTGAGGGAAAAAGAGTATTAAAAGTGTCTTTTCATGCAGTGGGTTGGAACGAGATGATCTTTAGGGTCCTTTGCAATCCAAACTCTTCATTGATTCTGTGATCCTGTGCCATTTTCCCTTCTGACAGGAAGGTTGGAAGGCTTGGTGAGAAGTTATGGGAAACAGCTGAGATGAGATGAGGTAAAGCAGGTGCAGGTACTAAACAATAACATTAATTTAGTATTTTAGAGCATGGGGAGGGTTAGAGGAACATTAGGGCCAGTCCTTTCTTCAAACACCAGAGGTTTTCCATCTCCAAGGCAAAGCCCAGGGGTGTCCCTGCAGCTCCAGAGCTGGCTGTGGGCTCAGGGCTGGGACACCTGCAGGGGCATTTCAGGCCACCTGGAATAGCTCCCAAATTGAGGCTGTTCTGCAGCCAGCTCCTTTCATCTCCACTGTGGCAGGGGTTGTGCTTTAGAAATGGAGCAAAAAGAGAAAAAACACGAGAAGCAAATTGCCTTGTTGTTAAAAATGGCCATAATTTATCCCTCATGATATAGCACAGTGCCAGTGCTCAGAGCCCTTTGGAGTCATGGTGAGTTTGTGAGGATTGTGCCCCATAGTACAGATGTGATTGCTGCAAATACTTGTTACTGGAATATTCCATGTTATTTTTTCAGTGCAAATTAAATATAAAAAAAAAAAAAAGGAAAAAAGGTGGGTTTTAAAAGGTTCCAACTACATATACCATGTGGCTATAAGAGTAACCAGAGTAGCAGCAGGCTGTCATGAGATTTGCTTGAGACATTTGAATTGGAGACTTGTGGGATGAGAGAAATTCAATTTGTGAGAGAGATTTTGGCTGCTCTGTCTCTGTTTATTGCACTCACAGCAGTCCATCAAGGGCAGGAGGACCAGACATGGAGCTTAAACACACTATTTCTAGGGTAAGTGCAAACAGCATTTCCAAACTTTCTGAAATGGTCAGGAAGAAGAGACAGGAAAAGGCTTTTGTAAAAGAGAACTGTTATTCAATACATATGAAAAATTCTCTGGGCAGAGATCAGTAGTCTCTGAAAATGCATTTCTCTCCAGTGCATCCCTGTTCTCAGAGCCTCAGCCAGAAGTGATGACTGCACCTTATTTATCTTTCTCCAGATAAGTACTCTGCAGATGATACAGATCAAAAGGACTTTTATTGCAGCTCTACCTTCATAAACTAAAAGTCACTGCATCCCTAAAGCTGAAATACTTGTAATTTTAAGTACTTTGTTAACCTACCAGAAAATACAGCTGTATGGAGTTGGGGTGTTATAGCCTGATAGCCTGCAAGGATCCATCAGTCCCTCATTGCATTGCAGCCAGGATATTTGCACTTTACTCAAGGAAGTAAACAGAAAAGCAATTTGCATTTTGCATTAAAGTGGTACAAGCAAGGAGCTGTCAGGTGAGATAGGAGGGACTGAAAGGAGGGATTCCCACATGATCAGACCTCCTGCAGGTTGGAATGGATGTGTGTAACAGCAGGAGGGGATGTGGGGCTTTTCTGGAGGAAACCTAGGCTCCCCAGGGAATGGGCACAGCCCCGAGGCTGCCAGAGCTCCAGGAGAGCTTAAACAGCACTGCCAGGGTGGGATTGTTGGGGTGTCTGTGCAGGGCCAGCAGCTGGGCTGGATGATCCCTGGGGGTTCCTTCCCACCCAGAAGATTCTGTGATTCCATCTATTGTCAGTAGAAAAATATGCATTCCGAGCAGAATCTTTGAGCAAACATTCCAGGCTTTATTTTGTTGTGGAACCAGCCTGGCCACCCTTGTAATTAGTTATATGTTTTAAAAGGGAACAATGGTTTCATTGTTACTGCCTGCTTGCTGTTAGGCAATATGGAGAGTTACACTGGAAATGCAACATTTGACATCTGCCTTTGTCAAAGGGGAAAAGAAACACTGGAACAGCGGGATGCCATCAAGATGGGGGGGGGGGGGTCACAAGGTCTGCAGAGAGAATTGTGGAATTGTGACATTTCCTGGTTGGGAGGAGCCTCACGGGGATCATCTCCACGGCAGCCCCTGACCCTGCACAGAGACCCCAGCAATCCCACCCTGGGCATCCCTGAGATCATTGCCCAAGCTCTCCTGGAGCTGTGGCAGCCCCGGGGCTGTGCCCATTCCCTGGGGAGCCTGGGCAGTGCCAGCACCCTCTGGGGGAAGAACCTTTCCTGATATCCAACCTAAACCTGCCCTGACACAGCTCCAGCCATTCCCTGGTCCTGTCCCTGGTCAGCAACATCTTTAATTTGTGTCTTTATCCCTGTTTGTAGTGAAGAAATACCATTTGTTCTCTTCATTGTGTGATAACCCCATTGGATTCTTGGCCTGTCACCATCATATTTTCTGGAAAAATCCCTTTGCCCAGGATTCTTCTCCTGGAAAGCTGAGAAGCCTCAGAGAGGAATGAAAACATTAATTATCTGATTGCTTCTCCTGTGTTTTGCTGCTCTGGCATGTGGTTGGACATTGTTTACAGGTGATTGTTTCATTGGTTTCATGTGAATTGTTTTTACTTAATGACCAATCACTGTCCAGCTGTGTCGGGGCTCTGGAGAGAGTCACGAGTTTTTCATTATTATCATTTAGTCTTCTGTCTGTACCCTCTCTCTATTCTTTAGTATATTTTAGTTTACATTCTTTAATATAATATAGATCATAAAATAATAAATTAGCTTTCTAAGAACATGGAGTCAGATTCATCATTTCCTCCCTTTGATTGGGGACCTCAGAAAATACCACACTTGGCCAGTACAACTGAGTTATTTTTAAACTTTTTACAACTTAATGATTTCTTCAATGTGGTGTTCAATCACTTCTATGGTGCCAAGGTAACGTGGCAAATGCTTCTGTCGTCAGGCTTCTGTTTGTTCTGTATTTCCATCAGAAAACAGGGATCAGCAGGATGAAAACAGATGGAAATTGTTTATTAGGTACACATATGAGAAACCAGTGGGATGCAGAAGTTGAAAGGATTTAGTACCTAGTAGGATCAGGGATTGAGACAATAAAGTGAGGGATAGCACAGAAATATGCAGAGTGTTAACTCAGATCCAGAGAAGGGCTAGTTAGAGTTTAGCTGAATTCAAACTAAAGAAAAGCACAAGCATTGGATGGTAACGGGACTGCACTGAAATCACCCCTGACTTCAAGTGTGGGACCCCAGAACATCCCTCTGGCTGTCCAGGACAGGCAGGACCCTGCCAGGGGGCTCAGAGACCCTGGCACCGAGCCCAAAATGCCCCTGTGGTTTCGATTATGACCCGTGGAGCAAATTACCAACCTTGTATGAAGACCAGCAAGCCACAACAGTTTAGGTAGAATAATAGTGAAGTTATCACGGGGTGAAAAAGTAGATTTTGGGGTTTCTGGTATGGGGATTCAGGGGGGCAAGATGGAGGGAACTGGGCATGTCCAGCCTTTCTCCTTCTCCTTCTTCTTGGCCTCCATCTCCTGCTGTGATGTTGGCACTTACAGATTGGTTTAGAGTAGAAGCTCACTGTCTAATGTAGGTGATAGGTATTGGGAAGTTATGGTAAATATTGTATACGTTGTTTTTAGTATAAAGACATAACACTGCCCTGGGGGCAGGCAGAGTGCCTGGAACTGTCCTGCTGGACGGACTTCGGCAGGGCAGGAGAAAAAGAATTTTATAGATAAAAAACAATAAACAACCTTGAGACCGAGAAATGAAGAGCCCTGACTCCTTCTTCAAGCGCCGGGCTGGGAAAAGAGACTTTCTAACTCTTCTCGGAGTTACTCTGACAAGCTAGAGATCTCGACATTCGAGATGCTCTAAAATGTACGAGGAAACCCCACACTGCGGACGAGAGTCCAGTGCCGCTGTAATTAGTTAAGCCCCGTCTATGCTGTAATTAATTTGGTTAATGAACCGTTCTCTCGGCAATTGCCGGTACCGCGGCCCGGCAGGGCCCCCTCAGAGCGGCACCTCCGCCCCGCCAGGGGGCGCTCGCGGCGCGCCCTTCCCGCCCTGGGCGCTCCAAGATGGCGGCAGCGGCGCCGTGGCCGTGGCAGGGGCTGTGGCCGGCGCTGTGGGCGGTGGTGGCGGCCCTGCTGCTCCTGCTGCTCTGGCGGCGGCGGCGGCGGGCGGGCGGCGCGGGCCGGGTGTGCGTGGCCGTGCTGGGGGACCTGGGCCGCAGCCCGCGGATGCAGTACCACGCCTTGGCGCTGGCCCGCCACGGGCGGGAGGTCGCGCTGCTGGGCTACCTCCGTGAGTGAGGGGCAGCGGGGCCGGGCGGGGCGGCCGCGCCGCTGACCGGGCTCTCCCCCCGCAGAGAGCCGGCCGCTGACCGGGCTCTGCCCCCGCAGAGAGCCGGCCGCTGACCGGGCTCTCCCCCCGCAGAGAGCCGGCCGCACCGGGACGTGCTGCACTCCGAGAACATCCGGCTGGTGCCCGTGGCGGAGCTGAGCGGGCTGCGAGGTGCGTGAGGGCCGGGCCGGGAGCCGAGGCTGCGGGGGAACGGGGGAGCGTGAAGAGCCCGCAGCGTGTGCGGGCCCAGCCCCGCCGCACGCCCGGCTCCCGCCCTGCTCTGCATTTCTCTTTAAACAGGAGCCCTGGAGTTAAACACCTGCCGGCGCATTGGTGCTGTTCGCGTGTGAAATTGGTGCATTTCACAGTGAAATGTGGACATGATTTTCATTCTACCTCTTTCTCCCCCACCTTGTGTTTAGTTAGCCCTGTTGCCCAGAGCAGCTGTGGCTGCCCCTGGATCCCTGGCAGTGTCCCAGGCCAGGCTGGACAGGGCTGGGAGCAGCCTGGGACAGTGGAAGGTGTCCCTGCCATGGCAGGGGGTGGAACGAGATGAGCCTTAAGGTCCTTTCCAACCCAAACCATTCAATGAGTAGGATTTCTTTGTACAAAATACAGAATGATAATTTGTAGGGATCACGAGATGTTTACATGGCTTTACAGTGATCATAGAATAAAACCACAAAGGTTGGAAAAGCCCTCTAAGAACATTGAGTTCAACCATTCCCCCGGCACTGCCAAGGCCACCTCTGACTCGTGTCCCCAGTGTCACATCCATGTCTTTAAACCCCTCCAAGGGTGGGGACCCCACCACTGCCCTGCACAGCTGTGCCCATGCTTGACCACCCTTTCCATGAAGAAATGTTTCCAATATCCAACCTAAACCTCTTCTGACACAGCTTGGGGGCATTTCCCCTTGTTCTGTCCCTGTTCCCTGGGAGCAGAGCCTGACCCCCTTGGCTGTCCCCTCCTGTCAGGAGCTGTGCAGAGCCACAAGGTCCCCCCTGAGCCTCCTTTGCTGCAGGCTGAGCCCCTTCCCAGCTCCCTTATCTGCTCCTGGTGCTCCAGCCCCTTCCCAGCTCTGTTCCCCTCTCTAGACACACTCCAGCCCCTCAGTGTCTGCCTTGGAGTGATCCAGCCTGCCCAGATCCCTCTGCAGAGCCTTCCCACCCTCCAGCACATTGACACTCTCACCCAGCTTGGTGCAAATTTGCTCAGGGTGCCCCTGGTGCACCCAGGTTGTTGGTAAAGTGTTTCCATTTTCATGTTATTCTGCCCCTGTCTCTGCAGAGCTGGCTGGTTCTGACATTCACATTTCTGTGAGGAGAGCTGTAATTCTCTTACCTGTTTTTCTGTCACTCTGCAGTGGGGCCAAAGCTTTTGCAGTATGTCCTGAAGGTGCTCGTGCAGTCAGTGCAGTTACTGTACACGTTGCTGAGGATAGAGCAGCCATCCTACATTCTCCTTCAGGTATGTTTTGTGTTGGGACTGATTTCAGTACAAATAAATGCTTCACAGGGTGGTTATAGCCATCTCAGACATTGTTGTAATTATTTCAGAGCTGAGCTGGCCTCTTCAGTGGTGTAAACCTGTATGCAAATATTTTTTGGCTCTAAACTTTGATTGGTCTGTTAACAAGTCAAGTTTTCTCTTCCTATTAGTTCTTGTGCTTTCAAACTTCATTGCCATGGGTGGCAGTAAGGAATAAATCTTACTGGAAATGTTGGTGTGTTTGTTGGAGGGGAATTTTGATCTTGATCCAGGGTTAAATTTGAAGTACCTGCCAGTGTTCATAAGTGAGCACAAACAGTCTCTGTCCATGGAGCTCCTTTAAGGTGATGCAACTCCAATTTGATTTTTGCTTCTGGTATTTGCTTTGTGTTTGTCACTTGGTCACAGCCTGATGCTATTTTGGGTTTGTTTTTGAGCAGAATCCCCCAGGCTTGCCCAGTATAGCTGTTGCCTGGGTGGCAGGGCTGTGGTGGGGGAGCAGACTCATCATTGATTGGCACAACTATGGGTACAGCATCATGAGCCTGAGTCACGGGAGGAGCCACCCACTGGTCCTGCTTGCAAAATGGTTTGTGCACTCATTTCTGCTCCCTGTAAATGATGTGAATTCACAATGGAGGCCAGTGGGGAGGGTGTAACTGGCACAGGGAGGGGTTTCTGGGCTTTGCTGTGTGGTTTCTGTTCTGCAGCTGCTTTGTTGGACACGTGGGAGGGGGTTGCAGGAATTGGGCAGGTTGCTTTTACCTACCTATGCAAATGTTGATCTTGTTATTGGAATTTCTTTGTAAGTCCTGAATTTTTTATTCTCTAATGCTGCTTTACACTCCAGCTCTTCTTTGAGCAGCTCCTTGCTGAATAGAATTGGTTTTGTGTAGTTAAAGGCTTTGGAGATCAGGAGTCCATCAAAAATTGTCAATCAAATTTCAGTTCTGGGGGCAGTTGGGTTTCTTTGGGTTTTGTTTGGCTTTCATCAAGCATGGGCACTGGGAGCAGTTGCTGCAGTTGTGGTTTCTGACTGATATTTCATTTTTGTCAGGTATGAAAAGCTTTTTGGGCGCTTGTCTGACTATAACCTGTGTGTCACTGATGCCATGAGGAAAGATCTCTGGGTGAATTTCAAGATCAAGTAAGTCATGTGCCTCAATTTATTGTGTGTATGTACTAAGTAAATGACAGAACAGATCCCTGAGGATTCAGGATTCAGAGGGATCTTACAAAAGCAGCTCTCCTGAGCTCACCCATCACCACTGAAACACATCAGCTCAGTTTTGTGATGGGCCAGGGTGGTGTGGGCATTCAGGAATCTTCATCATCCTTCTGAACTAACACACCCCAGTGACTGAGGTGGCACTCCAGGAGCCATGGCAGTTTGCTGCAGGCTGCCTGTGGAGCCAGAGAGGGACAAGTGTCACTGAGGTTTGAGCAGTTACTCTGGCCTGCCAGCTTATCTTGAGGGCTTCAGGATCAGGGGCAGTTATGGAGTAAGTTTGAAAATCAGGGCACCTAGTGTGGTGCATTTCACCCCTAGAATAAGCACACAAGAAAGGGGTTTTTTGTTACTTGTGCCCACCTTGGTGTGTTCCAGTAAACTTCAGGAATACAGGAAGTTGTAAGAGTCAAAAAATGAATTGCTTGGCTGTATAGTTATTTCTTTAGTTTTCTGGTTAATTTTTTCTGATTACATTGTGGCAGCCTGCCACTGTTCCATGTGCATGTTGTTACATCTGTATCTTATTTAAGCTGCACTCTTCTTTCCTCCCAGGGCTGTAACATTGTATGACAGACCAGCATCTTACTTTAAGGAAACACCATTAGACCTCCAACACAACTTGTTCATGAAACTTGCCAGGGACTACGAGCCCTTCAGAGCACGGTATGGGAAAGTGCAGCTGCCCCTGCATTGTGGGAGTGTTGGGGTAGGATGGTCAGGATGGAGACAGAGATCTCTGCAGCCAGGTCAGGAACTTGGGGTTTATTGCAAGGGGCCTGGGGGCAGGGCCCTGCTGGGAGCTGCAGCCACAGCTCAGAGCAGGCTGAGAGAAGAGAGGGTGAGAGGGGAAGAGAGTAAAAGGGTAAGAGAGCGAGGTTCCCATTACAATACAATAAATCTTCTTCTGTGTTGAATATTCTAATTCTCACTAACCAATCTAGTACAAGATACAAATCCTACAGCATTTCCATACAGCCTATAAGAATCATTACATTACCACACTGGGTTACATTTTAAACCCTAAAAACTCCTCTTTGGGCCCCTTCTGCCAAGCTGGCAGGGTCTGCTCTGACCCTTGGGCCTGTCTGCAAGCAGAGGGTGTTGTTCCATCAAAAGGGGATTACCTTCAGCTGGCCATGCCATTGTTTTCCAGTTGTTCAGTAACTGAGGGATCTCAAAGCTTGCTTTCATTTCAATCTTGCTTGTAGTTTCTATATTCTCAAAATCTTTTGCCAGGCAATCATATTTGTAAGGCTTTCCTGTTTCATCTTCCCCAACACTTCATCCTTTCCCAGGGCACATGGAGCTGTGGCACTGCAGTTACCAAAATCCTGTGTGGGGTATTCTGGCCCCAGCAGGCACAGGTGGCATGAGGGGTCTCAGTGTTGTTATAGAGCACAACACAGCACAAAGCACCACAGCTCCATCAGAAGAGTGCAAGAGAGATTTATTACAGCTACATGTTGCTTTTATACTCTTTCAAGATATTTACATTCACTTAACATACACATTCACTGCCCAGTGGTTATAGGAAAGAAACAAAGTTCTCAGTGGGTGACCAAGAAGCCACATCATTCTGTGAGCCAGCTGGAGTCTGTATCTCTTAACTTTCTCTCCTTCATCACATCTCCTTGGTGACAGCCTTGGTGTCTTCCTTAGGAGAGATATGGGGCTTTCCTTTATCTTCAGGAGGCCTTTGCTGCCTCACAAGAACAGCACAGAATGTCTCTCCTACAACCTCTAGTTGTCACTAGAGAGGCCAGAAATGAGAGGATTGAGCTGTGGTGACACAGGCAGTGAGGTGACTGAGCTGTGACACAGGCAGTGAGAGGATTGAGCTGTGGTGACACAGGCAGTGAGGACTGAGCTGTGGTGACACAGGCAGTGAGGATTGAGCTGTGGTGACACAGGCAGTGAGGTGACTGAGCTGTGGTGACACAGGCAGTGAGATGGTTGAGCTGTGGTGACACAGGCAGTAGAAGTGTTTTGTTTTTAAAGCAGTTGGCACCAGCACTGGGGCAATCTGTGCTGAGTGTCTGGGGTGGAGCTCTGCCTCCCACTGACCCCACTGCTTGGATGCTTCCTTAATAGCATCCCTTCCTTAATTACTGTGCACAGCCTGCAGGATCTTGGTCCAAGGGTTAAATAAACACTTCCCTCTGGCAGTGCAGGATGTCACCTGTAGCAGATGTACCAGATGTTTGACTTCACCAAACTAAGGCCTGAAAAAGCAGTGAAATCCACAGTGCATAGTGGGGATTTTTTGGAAATGCCCAGCTCAGAATGTGTAGGTTTGTCACTATAGGACATGAAACAACACAAGCACACACAGCTGTTCTCAAAGTGAAAAAAGGGAAGTTTATTTTCTGACTCTAACATTTATAGATTTCTAAAAGTGCCAGTGGATTGGAGGGTGACAGTGCCACCTCTCTAATGACACTGGACAAACCAACAGTCCATCAAATTTCTCTTCCTCTATAAAAGAATGCAAACCAAAAAGTTATTTACAGAAAGTGTGTGAGAAAGTTCATTACAAGAATGTAAACATCAAAAAGCTTAGAAAATCTTAAAAAATCAAACTACATAAGTTCTGAGTTTAGTTGAGTAAATGTGCTGTTGGGCTCCCTGTTGTGCTAACTGTGAGACAGACTGTGGAAAGGGAGGCTGACTCTGCTCAGCTTGTGAAGGAAAACATTTGGCTGAAAAGTGGAATTGTGCCTGTAGCAGCAGGAAAGAGGGAAAAATGGCCTGCCCTGTCCTGGTATTTCTGTCGTGCAATGATCCTATTCCTAGTCAAGTTGAGCTTCAATCTGAAGCCAAATGTGTGGGAGTGGGTGCCAGGTGAGCAGAGTGCTCGCTGCTGTCGCTGTGTGCAGCTCAGGCTCAGCAAGTTGTGTCTCCATAGTACAGAGCTGGGAGTCCCGGCGCTGACAGATCGGCCTTCACCCAGAGGGACGGCAGCAGTGGCAGCGTGCTCGGGGCCCGGGGCCGGCCCGCCCTTCTCATCAGCAGCACCAGCTGGACAGGTCGGGAATCGCTTCTCTTTTCCATGTTAAATACGGGGGCTGTGCTATCTCACACTAGAAGTTCTGTTTGTCCTTTGTTTTCCTGGGAGAATTTGAAGACAAAGCATGTATGATGCAACCAAGTGTTGTGTAACTGAAATAATACTACAAATGAATGGTTTTTTTGAAGTTGGATTTTAATTATAGAGCTCAACTTTAAGAATAATTAAAAGAGGCTTCCTATTTGGTTTTTTTTTAGCTTTCATTCTAGACATACAATCTTGCATGGTGTAAAACAGATTGAGAAACTCAAATATTTACTCCTTACTGAGCATCCCATACCCTGAAGGTGCCTCTGCCCATAGCAGAGCTGGGATGAGCTGAACTTTAAGGTCCCATCCAACCCACACCAATTTGTGATTCCATGATTTCTGATGATGTTTATTACATAATTATGTACATTTTTTTTTCCTCTGTATGAGGAAGAGAACAAAGACTGGAAACAAATCCATTGCCAGTGATCATGTGCAGGATTGTCTTTATCTTTGAATTATCAGGGCAGTTTTTACACTTAATTCTCAGTTTCAGAAACTAGAAAATTTTAATGGCTTCAAAGATATAAAGTATTTGTAGCTGGTTTATCTGTCATGTTGCCCACAAGGGAGATAAATAAACACTGTGTATGGTTATGGACTTTTAGTTATGAAAATAAACTAGGGGATTTTTAATAGAACATTTTAGTAAATAGTAACCTTTAAGTACAAACTATGTATTTAACTTTGAGTACATGGTCTGTTTTTAAATTATGTAGGTGAAGGTGAGGAACATCTCAATTGTTATTTAAAGCAAAAAAATTTAAATGGTAGAAATATGACTGTTACTAATAAAACCTTCTCTTTCAGAGGATGAAGACTTCTCAGTCCTTCTAAGAGCTTTAGAAGGTTGGTATGAAGGAATTGGTCTCACTCTTTCAAAGAGGTGTTCTGGACACTTAAGAAGGGTTTTGCTAAAGAGCAGTGCTTCTATATTCAGGTGAAAATGCAGTTGTATTTGATTAATTAACACTAATTTCAGATTAGTAATTGAAATACAGCAGTGCAACATCTGAATTCAATTAGAGGAGCTGTCAGGGAGAGTTAAATCTCTAACTGGCCCCTAAACTGCAGCTTTATTTTCTGAGCTATTACATCTGCTCTCCACAGGTATCTGCTAATGGGAAGGGAGGGAATACTTTGTCTTATCTTGTAGACTTTGCAGCTGCAATTCCTAATTGATCTATTGAAGCAACTGACTGGGGAGCAGTTGAAGAAATGCTTCATGCATAAACAGCCTGATTTATTTCTGGAGGAGTCTGTAAATGTTAACATTGCTGGATTTACTGCTGTGGTACTCATACATGCTTGTAAGGAAATTGCTTGTAATGGGAAGCTCAGTTATTAATGCACTGTCACCACTCTGCAGCCAAGCACCCAGAGATGTGTCAGCTCTGACCAGTTTTTATCTTCTCCAGATTATGAGAGGTTTATTGAGGAGGGAGCTGAGCTTCCAGCTTTGGTGTGTGTGATAACAGGTGAGGATGTTTGTGTTACAATTCTTCAGGACCAGCAGAAGGTTCAGTTGTCACTTTTGTTCTGTGCTCACTCTTCTGTTGCTGGTGGGAGGGAGGAGGGACTGTTGCCTTTGTGCTGGTTATCAGGACAGTGATTTCCAGCTGAGTTATTGCACCATCCACCAATTATAGCACATCCTTAAAGAGCCTCCCTGTGTGCTCCTGCTCTGCATGAAAAACACTCCAAGGCCAATGTTGAGATGATGCTGCAAAAGCAATGTCAGGGGGAGCAGCCTAAGCTGTGCCAGGAGACTCAGAGTGGATATTGGGAGAATTCCTGCATGGGAAGGGTGGTCAGGCACTGGCACAGCTGCCAGGGCAGTGGTGGATGGAGTGCCCATCCCTGGGGGAATTGGAAGCCCTGGGGGTGTGACATTCAGGGTCAGTGTTGGCCCTGGCAGTGCTGGGGAACAGCTGGGCTTGGTCTGAGAGGGATTTTCCAACCTTAAAAACTCCATGATTCTCCATTGATGGGAAACTCACTGAAATACTGAATAAGAGAAGTCCATGTGCACATTCCTTTTGAGGTAACTTAAGATTTTTCATGTCTTTTTGAGGTACCGCAAGTGTTGTACTCTGTTTGTGCTCCTGATCCAACAGGAGCTTGTATTCACTGTTTGCAGTCATCTTGATAAAACATTTCTTTTCTGTTTTACACAGGTAAAGGACCTCTAAAAGATTACTACAATGGGCTGATCCAAAAGCTGCACTTTAAACACATCCAGATCTGTACCCCATGGCTGGAGGCTGAGGATTACCCTCTTCTGCTTGGTAAACAGTGGGGGATGGAGAAGGACTGAGGATGTGTGGGAAACAGCTCAGCACAGTTGCAGGGGCTGATGCAGACTGGGAGAACATAGTCAGGAATGTTGCTGTTAGTGACAGGATATTCATGGATTTGACTCATTCCAGCAAAGAATTGTTGGAAATTCCTCTGGCTGGCTTTTCCCTGCTTTCCCAAGTAGTAGCTGTGCTGTTTCAGCCTGTCCTGGGCACTCTTTGTTTCTTCCAGCTGTGCTGAAATACAGGTGCCTGTGCCTGTTCTATTTTACCTTCAGGGTCAGGCCAGTAAATGAAATGAAAATGTTGTTGGCTGAGCAACCAAAAGTAGCTGAAATTCTAAATTAACATCTCATTGGAATGTTATTCCTTCAGCATCTTCATTGCAACAGCACAAAGGGGGAGTAATACAGTTATAAAATAGATATTCAATGTGATTTTTCTGTAGGGTTAGAGCCTGACAATCTATGTGGCTGTAACACCCTGTTTATTTGGTCCTTTTTAAATAATAATCAAAATGCCTGTAAAATCACACTACAGTTCCTCTGTTTGAGCTGCTTCAGCTGGGAGAGGTCACAAGTGAGGTCACAGTGTTTACTGATGGGGTTGGGATGGGATTTTCCTTTACTTATCCATTTTTAACAGATTAAGAAGCAGAAAGCCTGTTTTAAGATACATAAAACTTCAAAATCCCCTTTAATTTAACATGCACTCACTATTTTTCTAAAACATAACTAATTTTGAGTCCCAGAACACCCTCTGCTTTATTTTTTTTCCCTGATTGCTTGAAATTGTGTCTGGGTAATTGAAAGTTTCACTTGCTCCATCCAAAGCAGCAGGAAAATGAAGGTTTGCAGGACAGAGGAGCTGCTTTCAGAGAGTTCAGACTGTGTTGTGTTGCATTTCAGGCTCAGCAGACCTGGGGGTGTGTCTCCATAAATCCTCCAGTGGTTTGGATTTGCCCATGAAGGTGGTGGATATGTTTGGCTGCTGTTTACCTGTGTGTGCAATACATTTTGAATGGTAAGAGCTTATTCTGTTATAGCTCAAGGCAATCACATAAAACAATATTCTTACAAAGCCAGAGTTCAGCAGCTACTGCAGGAATTCAGTGAGATTCCTGTATTCTGCCATTTTAAAAATTAAATAAGATAGAAATCAAGGTTGGTTTAAGTTTAAAAATTAATACTAGTTTCTAAAAACTTGGGAGCATTTAATGCAAGCACTTGTCTTAAAAAATCCCTGTATTCCACTGTTTCCATATATTTAATTAAAAACAATCTTTTTTCTGCATAGACACACCTGTTCAGTGAAAGGCTGAGTGTGTGCATGGGCATTCTTGGAATTGATGGTCCTTTGGGAAAACAGTAGCTTTATAAAAGTAGATAAATTCCTGTGAAGATTTCATGATGGATCATGGACAGATTTTCCTTGTGGAAAAAGAATTAGTTTTAAAGTGATAATTGCCCTGGTTTTTAATGGATGTGCAGATGAGTGCCACAAAGACAGATTGAGGGCCCTTTGGTACAGTTGTGGTAGATTTTGTCTGACATAGAAAGGAGAAGAAGTCTTTAACTGTTTAACACTTTGTTTAACTCCTGATGTCAGCTGTGGGGCCATAATGATACAGACACCCTGGTCTGGTCCCTTTGGATGTCACTGTGCAGCACTGCAGATGTCCCACTCATGTCCCACTCACTGCTTTTTGCCTCAGTTCTCCTTTTTTTGTGTCTTTTTTCACAGTTTACATGAGCTGGTGAAGCACAATGAGAACGGGCTGATATTCAGGGACTCGCAGGAACTTGCAAAGCAGCTGAAGGTAAAGGCTCTGACTGATTTCTTTACCCCAGAAATAACCCCAGAGGTAGCACTGTGTGAGCAGCCCTTTCAGATCTAACATCACCTGTGTGTTTTGCATTCTCACAAGGCTGGCCTGGCCTGCTAAGCATTGTTTGCCTCACTTCTGTGTGACTGTGAACCTGAAAAAAGCATTTCAAACTCTGTCCTTGATCTCCCTTCATGGGGCTAGACCCCAGAACTGCAGCTGTAGTTGAGGCTTAACACTGGGGAGGCTGGAATGAGCCTGAAATGGAACCTCACAGTTATTTTTCTGTGGTTTTGTTTGTTAAATTACAGATGCTTTTCTTGGATTTCCCCAGCCTGGAAGGGAAACTTCAGCGCTTCCGAGAGAACCTGCGCGAGTCGCGGCAGCTGCGCTGGGAGCAGAGCTGGGAGCAGACTGTCCTTCCCCTGCTGGGCAGCAGGGAGTGATGGGGCAGGAGGCTGTCAGACACATCCCTGCAGCTGCAGGGATTGGGGAACAGTGAATAAAGATTTTGTATTGTCTGCACTTACAGTTTCTAACTCCTGTTCTTGGCTCTCACACTCTTCCTGTACAGTTTCAGCTTCCTGGGGGAGCAGGAGGTGCTGGAGGTGCTGAGCTGTTTGCTGTGTGAGAACCTGTGCTGCTTCTTTTGGTGAAGATCCTTGAAAACAGATAGAAACTATGACCAGCTTCACCTCCTGTACAGTCAGCACCTCAGTAGGTGATTTGGGTATGGTTTCTTTGGCACGTGGCAGATGCTTTCCACTGGAGTTGTTTCATTTCAGCTGGTCAGTTTGATGGCCAGTAATTGCCAAAGCATTGAATTCTCCTGTGTGGATTTATTGGGACAGAACCATTTTGTTTCCAAGTTGTTTTTCCTTTTGACAATGTGTGCAAGGGTGTGGAAGCACAGCACTGGTGTGTGACAGCTTTACTGGGCACTTGGAGCAAAGCAGAGCTTGCAGTGAGTGTTGTCCCTGTACTCTGAAATGAATGTGCCCATTTACCTTGGGAAAGGACTTAAAACTCATCTCTTCTTGAACAGATGGACAGAAAAGGGGAAAATAAACCCAAAATACATGAACAAAGTATGTATAACTTAGAAGGCACTTTGCTTTTTGAGTGCTTACTCAGGTACAGCCTTCAGCTTTTTATTAAGCTCAGTATTCACATGCAAGCTTAATGCTTACAAGATTTTTTTCATCACATTTTTGATGATAAAACAGATGTCAGACATTGGTAACTTGGCTTGGAATGTGTTTACTGCTTCTCACAGAGCTCCTGCTTCAGGCTGGGAGGTGGGCACTGGGCTCTGCACCAGCAGTTTTAAACTCTGACTGAGAAACTCTTGAATATCTACTTTTGTCAAAAGAGAAAAGGTGAAAATAGGGACAAATTACTTTACTGCAGGAATTTGGCAAAACCTCCAGCTTATGGATTGAAGAATGATCCATAAAGATTGATTTGCCAATTTTTTAATGGTTTTTTCCTGTTTTCAGTCAAAATCCTATCTAGAGGTTTGGCCATTCCTGTGCACATGGAGGTAAATTAGGGACTTTTCTGATTAAACACTAATGCCAAAGAGGTTTCCTCTTCATAGAACAGAACATTTTAGATCCAAAATGAGATCTACAAAGAACCTTTGTCTTGAATTTTGTGTGAGGGGAGATAAAGGAGCTCCTGTGTGGGCTGCCAGTTTGTGTTTACTCTGGAAATAAACCTTTGAGTTCTTTTTGGGGACAGGGAGCCAAAACCTGGGCTGGGGTTATTTCTGCTTGATCCCAGCAATCATGGTCTCCTTAAGCTTGAAGAATAAGAAGATTCTTCAGGTCTCAAGATAGGTATCATCAGTTTTCTCTCCATTGCTACAGAAGGAGGAGGTTGAAGTGTTTTCATTTCATTTTAAGTAGTTTTTAGTAGAGAAAAGGAAGCTAAAAGAGAAGAATGAGCATCACTTTGATGTTTGTGCTTCAGGACCAATGCTACCCAACAGGAGAGGGATGAATGATGATGGGAGGTTTCAGAGCAGGGAAGCTCAGTCCTTTCTGCAGGATACCTGGAACTCTGCTATGGAGAGAGATTCCTTTTTCATTGCCAGCCCTGCCTGGATTCCCAGCAGCCACTGTGAGAGAAAGGGACATCAACTCTGACTCCTCATCACTGCAGAGTGAAGATGCACCTGATTTACAGCAGAGTCATCCTGGGACACGGCCACAGGTACTGCTCACTGTTTATTGGGGGTTTTTAAGCCAACTCAAACTGCAAATATACACAGACATAAAATATACACAGACATAAAAAACCAGCTGCTTTTAAAACCAAAAGCCAGTGATTACTCTGAAACACTGCTTTGCTTCCTTCTCTGTGTGGGATCCTCACCCTGTGATCCTGCAGGTTGCCCCCAATACTTACAAATCACAACAGAGTTGGGAAAAATCTCTGCTTGAATTCTGCTGTCTTCTACAGAATCCAAGTGAAGTGTGATTGGGGCTTTTTGGTTCCTGTTGCTTGAGGTTCAGTCACTTCCCAGGGGCAGCTGCAGGCTTGGATCCATGCTGGGAATTGGAGGAAGGACTCCATGTGTCCAGCTGTATCCTCAGAACCTCCTTTCCACAATTCAGGATAATCTTGTTACAGGGCTGACAGGGCTCCTGTTGGTCTCTAAATTCCAGTTCTGTTTGCTGTTATACAAATAGCTGTAGAATAGTTACATCAGGCTGCACATCACAGAGAAAATTACAGCTGCTGTGGGCTGGAATCACCTGCCACCTGATCCCAGCTTTATCTGTGAAGAGAAACACTGAGAATCATATTCATGCCTGATAAAATGAAGAGCAAAAGTTGCATGACAAGTTCTGTAAGGAGAGATCTTTAGCATGCTGTGATTGTCAGGAAAATGCTTATGAGTGTTTTTGTAAAAATCCCATTAATGCCTCTGCTGTGTCACTTTGTGAATTAACCAGAATTTCCCAGAATATCCTGAGCTGAAGGAAGCCACAGGGATCATCAGGTCCAGGTGGTGAACACCAGCTGACACTGCAAAAGATAGGCTTTAGAAGTTTACATGAAGAAAAATCCCCAAATCTATTTTATTTAATCTCTAGTTGGGGTTTTTTTATCAAAAGAGAAAAGGTGAAAATAGAGTCAGGTCAAGGAACAAGTAAGATAAGATTAAGGGTTTAGGCTGCATCTCAGGTGTTATCACTGACAGTGCAGCACTGATGGCTCCCTCCTTTAAGCTTAAACCACTTTTTATTTCCTACTGGCACCAGATTACAAATCATCCCTCACAGATGTGAGCTGTGATAGCCAGGATGGACCCAAAGGTGAGTTCCAAGCTGATGAAATCCATGTGCAAAAGCCACTGCTCTTAAATCCAGCTCTAGGACAAGATCCTGCCCTTGGACAATGCTCCTGCTCCTCTACCACAGAACAAGGAATGGGGAAAGGCAGAAAGGCAGAACTATTGAGCTCTGGATGGAACAGCACCCACCCAGCTCAGCCTGGAACAGCTGATACGTGGCTGGATTTCGGATTGTGGAGGCAATGAACACCTCAGGAGCTTTCCTGTCTGCTCTGGAGGTGGAGAGTTTCTGTAGCATCCCAATGAGGGCTACAATTATCTCAGGATCATACACCACATCTAAAAGAAAAAAAAAAACAACATACAATATTTATTGAGAATTGAGCAAAAACCAGACTAACAACTGCAAAGCAGAAATAAAATCTTCACAGTGCAGGAGAATATTGATATTTTATGGGCTATGCCCTCATCACTAAAAATCAGCGCTCCTTTTTGTAAATGGATTGTCAGATATTTTATTTAAGCCCATCCTAAGGGAGGCAGCAGAACCACTGAGTGCTGGTGCTCTGTTCCCACTGCCCCTGGCAAAACAAACCTGCCTTGTTAGGAATGAGTGGTTTAGAGGCTGCTGCCAAGGCCTTGCAGATGTTTTCAGCTGGAGTTGTTCTCTGGAGAGCAGAAATGGTGGTGAGAGGTCAGGGAACACCAAGGGGAGCAGAGTGCTGATGCTCAGGGGGGGCTGTTCCCTACACAGAGGTGTGCAGGTGGGAAGGTTTCCTACACTGAGGTGTGCAGGTGGGAAGGTTTCCTACACAGAGGTGTGCAGGTTTCCTACACAGAGGCGTGTGCTCCACTGCAGTTATTGTGCTGCAGTAACAGCAAATAGAGAGATGTCAGTGCCCCTCAGCTCTTCCCTTCAGAGAGCTGCTGGGGCTGGTTTGGGCACTGAGCAGTGTCACTGCCATTAGGTACCATGCAGGGATTTCATTTAATCAATTCCCAATCACTGCATCCTGTGATAGCTGGGATACCAAAGTCATTTTTGCACCTGGATTCTCAGGTTTTTTCTTTGCAAAGCTCCAAATCAGGGTGTAAGTCCTACAGCTGAGGCATTCTGCTCTCACTGGGTATCACCACCATCATCCTACTGCCACTAGGTTTTCCATAATTGAATTTTTATAAATCTCCCTCTGATTTTATACACAGACAAGTCCAAATACAGTCTGTGGTTGGTTGTTGTTATTTGTTTCTCCTCAGGAGGCTGCTGGGGTGGCTGAGCCCTGCCCACCCCTGCTCCCTGTGGTACCTGCTGCAATCACAACATCAGCTCTGAGGGCCAGCAGCTGTTTCTCTGTCACTGAGCCCCAGTCCAGCTCAGCCACAATCACTCTGGGGGTTTGGCAGCTCTGTCCTTCCCCCTCCTGTCCCTGGGACTCTGTCTGGAGGCTCCAGGTCCCGTCCGGCTCCGGGCTGAGGCCGTTCAGCTGCAGGTTCTCCCCCAGCTGGCTGAGAACACGGGGGTGGCAGTCACTGAATATGAATGTCCTGGGCTGGCAGCTCTTGCAGATGGCAATTCCAGTGAAGCCAACCCCACTCCCCAATTCCAGGATTGTCCTGAGGGTAATGGAGTAAAAAGGACTATCAGGACTCTGCATTGAGTTAAAATCAAAACATTCTAAATATAATTAAAGGTAAAATCAGTTCCAGATAATTACAATAATTTTTGAGTGAACCATCCATAATCTAACCTTTGTCCTAAACAACTGGAGAGTTGGGAATAACTGAGGGTGGAATTGTCAGCATAAAATTAATTAGCTGAAATGCTGATTTCTGTAAGGCACAAAGCATTCCCACCACAGGGAGGAGAGACATTCCCACCTGGCTTTGGCCATCTGCAGCACAGTTGTTTCCTCCTGAGCTGGCTCTCCAGCTTTTAGTCAGTGGAGAGAAACAGACTGAGCAGCAAAGTTCCTTCCCCTGTGAGCTTAATTATTATTAAATTATCTTTCCTCAAAACTCCTTGCTCATCTTGACTAATTATAAATAAATTGGAAATTATGTGTTCAAAACTGCACACTAATCTAATGTAGATATTCCTTGGTGCATCCCATCATGAGGTGAAGATCATTAATGAAATTACTGAAAACTGAACAGCTGACCTCACAGAGAAGGTCAGACTGCACAGTGCAAGGGTTTGATCCCAAACCAGGTCCTAAACCAGGCCCTCTCCTGGGTTAAAGTTTGGCAGAACAGACAAGAGCAGCAATTACTCAGCAGCAAAAGGCTCTAATTTCAGTAATTTTGGGTGCATAGTCTGTTATTAAATATTTATGTTATTAAACTACAGTAGTGTAGCTCACAGTACCAAAGGGCTGGAGCCAGGCTGGGAGAGCTGGGGGTGCTCACCTGGAGAGGAGAAGCTCCAGGGACACCTCAGAGCCCCTGCCAGGGCCTGAAGGGGCTCCAGGAGAGCTGGAGAGGGACTGGGGACAAGGGATGGAGAGACAGGACACAGGGAATGGCTCCCACTGCCAGAGGGCAGGGCTGGATGGGATATTGGGAATTGGGAATTGTTCCCTGTGAGGGTGGGCAGGCCCTGGCACAGGGTGCCCAGAGCAGCTGTGGCTGCCCCTGGATCCCTGGCAGTGCCCAAGGCCAGGCTGGGCAGGGCTGGGAGCAGCCTGGGACAGTGGAGGTGTCCCTGCCCATGGAATATGTCCCTTCCCAGCCACAGCCCTGTGTGACCCTGCAGGATCAGAGCTCTGTGGTGCTGCCATACCTGCCCCTGAAGAGGCTGGGGTTCTGCAGGGCCCACTGGGCCAGGTGCAGGGCAGCCTCCCAGGTGAGGAGCCCCGTGGTGCCCCCGGAGATCAGCGCTGTGCTCTCGCAGAGGCTCACACAGTCCCCGGAGGGCTGCAAGACATGGGAGGCAAAGATGCATCAGCACAGGCCATGACTGAGAGCTTACAATCAACAGGAGCACCTGGGAAAAGGCAGGAAGCACTCCAGGCTTCAGGGTGTGTGGCATTCACATTCTCTGAAAAAATTCCTTCACCCAGGGTTTTTCTCCTGGGAAGCTGAAAGGCAGCAAGAGAGGCCTCAGAGAAAAGGAAAACAATTCTTATCTCATTTGTTTCTCCTGTGTTTTGCTCATGTGGAATGTGTTTGGAGATTGTTTACCCACAGGTGATTGTTCCATTGGTTTCTGCTGTGAGCCGTTTTCACTCTTTGGCCAATCAGGGCCAAGCTGTCAGGACTCTGCAAAGAGTCACGAGTTTTCATTATTATCTTTTTAGCATTCTGCAAGTATCCTTTCTGTATTCTTTAGTATAGTTTAGTATAGTATTCCTTAATATAATAAAGTACTAAACTAGCCTGAGAACACGGAGTCAGATTCATCATTCCTGCCTTTGTCAGGGCACCCTGCATTTACAATAAAGGTGGGTGTTTAGAAAGCCAATTATTCCTTGGTTTGGGTGAGTAAATGTGGTTTAGAACAGCGCAGAGTCAGTTTTTACCAGTAAGTAGTTTTTGTAACAGTGAGTAGATTCCTCTTCTTCTTTCAGAACATCTGCCAGTGCCTCGTAGAGTTCATCCAGGGGTTCAGCTGCTGTGGATTCCAGCTGTGGGGGAGGAGAACAGGGCAGCTCTGAGCATCACATTGTCATGAAAGAGAAAACAATGCACTCTAAGCTCCATTTTAGTACAGAGTACTTACACTGAATGTTGTGGTTGGTTATTATATGGGGTATTCTCAAGGAAAAAAAATTAAGAGAAAAACAAGTGGAAAATAAGCTGAAAAGCAAGAGGTACCTTTTTGATGAGCTCAGTCAGGAAGCACCTCCTGTACTTGGCTGAAGGGGGATATTTCACACACAGAGGGTGAAGAATTGTCTACAATGAGAAGAACCATGGAAACCAATTACCCAGGGCAGGGTTTAGGAAAGGCACTAAGGACCACAGCAGACCATTAACTGGGTCTGGGTGCCATGAAATGCTTTGGAATTTAGTCTGTACAAGAGATGCTAAGCCAGAAACTGAAATGGGATAATTTCTGACAGGTTTGTGAGTTTACAGAACTGTGGCCACAGAGTTCTTACTTTTTGTGTAAAACAAAAATATCACTTTTCAATACAGCAAAGAAGAAAACAGACTGAAAATATTTCAATTTATTCTCCTGCTTCTTTTGGTCTTCCTTCTTTCCGTTTCGGTTTGCTGCCTGATTTGTGATCCGCAGGGACAGTTTAGCACCCCCATCCCTGTATCCCGATCATCCCGGAGCCATTCACCACCACATCAGTGCTCTGGCACGCGGGTCTGTTTTGATCTAAGAACACCCAAATACCGGGCAAAGAAGGAAATCTGCGGTTCTGCAGGGCCTAAAGAAGCACTGCAACACCAGATCACCGATCTCCGTATTTCTGAGCAATTCCGGCGGATTTGGGACACCCTGGTGATGGCAAGGGGGTGACTCCGAGCCGCTCCTCACCTTGTGCAGAATATCCGCCAGCAGCGCGGAGTCCGGCGCAGTCCGCAGGCTTTGCTCGAGTTCCTAGAACAGGATAAATAGATAAATAAATAAATTAACAACGACGCGGTGCAGCCTCCCCCGCCCCTCCGTACCGGCCAGGGCAGCGAGCGGAGCGGCCGCGCCGCCAGGAAGCGGCGCTGGAAGCGCAGGGCCAGCCCCGGGCACGGCTCGGCCATGGCCCCGGAGCGCACACGGCCGGGCAGGCCCCGGGTCCCGGAGCAGGAGCCGCCCCGAGGGCGGAGCGGCGCTGCTGCACGGGCCCGGAGCACGGAACGGCCAGAGCGGGGATCGAACCCGCGACCCCCAGACACCGCGCCGCCACAGAGATGCCCGCGCCGCCAGGGGGCGCCACGGACCCGCTGCCCGAGCGGGAACGGAGAGAGCAGGAAACACCGGGATGGGGGAAATACACACCGGGATGGGGGGGAACACACACCGGGGTGGGGGAAATGAACACCAGGATGGGGGGAATCACACACCGGGATGGGGGAAATACACACCGGGATGGCGGAATCACACAGGGATGGAGGGGAACACACACCGGGGTGGGAGGAATGAACACCGGGATGGGGGGAATCACACACCGGGATGGGGGAAATACACACCGGGGTAGGGGAACACACACCGGGATGGGGGGAATTACACACAGGGATGGGGGAAGTGAACACCAGGATGGGGGGGAACTCACAATGGGATGGGGGAACCCACAGGGGGATCGGGGAAACACCGGAATCAGGGGAATATCGAGATCATGGAGCACTGGGATCGGGGAAACGTGGAATCACTGGATCAATGAATCACTGGGATCATAAGAACCATGGAAACGTTGTAATTATGGAATCGTGGAATCACTGGAAACGTGGAAACACACAATCACGGAATATTGGAATAATGGAATCAGGGGACCATGGTATGGTTTGGCTGGGAAGGGTCATTAGGGACCAGCCCATCCCAGCCCTGCCATGGCAGGGACACCTCCCACTATCCCAGGCTGCTCCAAGCCCTGCCCAGCCTGGCCTTGGGCACTGCCAGGGATCCAGGGGCAGCCACAGCTGCTCTGGGCACCCTGTGCCAGGGCCTGCCCACCCTCACAGGGAACAATTCCTCCTTCCCAATATCCCATCCAGCCCTGCCCTCTGGCAGTGGGAGCCATTCCCTGTGTCCTGTCCCTCCATGCTGTTACAAGTACACTTGCCCTGTCTGCTCCCTGCGGGCACGGGAAGCGGCCCCAGCGGAGTCCCCTGCGCTGTCCTTTCCCCAGACCCTCCCGGTTCCCGGGCTCCCCTCACGGCGGAGCCACCTCAGCACCACCTCGGCGGCCTCGCCTGGCGCGTCACCACTGCGCGCGCCATGACGTCACCGCCGCGCGCCGCCGCGAAGGACACGGCGCCCGAGCGGGGCCGATCGGGACCGGGGTGACCCAAGCGGGGCCGAACGGGACCGGAGCGAACCGGAGCGGAGCGAGCGGCCCGGGCGGGCTGAGGCGCCATGAGCGGCCCCACGCAGGATGAGAGGCTGCGGGTGCAGCAGCTCCGCGCCCTGCGGCGCCGCTGGCTGCGGGACCAGGAGCTGAGCCCGCGGGAGCCCGTGCTGCCGCCGCAGCGGCTCGGGCCCGTGGCCGCCTTCTGGGAGCGCTTCCTGCGGCCCGGGGAGCCCTGGCGGCACCAGGTGAGCGGCGGGACGCGGGCACCGCGCGGCCTCGCCCGGCCCGCTGGCCCCGCCTGACCGTCCCCGTGCCCGCAGGTGCACAACTTCTACCAGGGCGGCCGCTTCGTGTTTCTGCGGGTGCTGCTCCCCGCCTGGGCCATCACCTACTACGTGAAGTACCATCTGCTGGTGCGTGCGGGCCCGCCGGGGCAGGGAATGGCCGGGAAGGGCCGGGGGGATGGAGCGGGACTGGTCCCACAGCGGGTGGGGGACGGTGCTGCTCACACTCGGCTGCAGATGGAGGTTATTCCCCGTGGCCTGTTCACCGCTTGTGTTGCATGGTGGGGTAACATTTATATATAAATTTAGTGTGAGGCTTCATCCCAAAGAATCACTCTTGTGACACCCCAGCTGCAGAGCTGCCCCAGCCCTGAGGCCAACAGCAGCAGGACCTGGAGCTGCTGGAGAGAGTCCAGGGGAGCCCATGGAGACACCCCAAGGGCTGGAGCCCCTCTGGAGCCAGGCTGGGAGAGCTGGGGGTGCTCACCTGGAGAGGAGAAGCTCCAGGGACACCTCAGAGCCCCTGCCAGGGCCTGAAGGGGCTCCAGGAGAGCTGGAGAGGGACTGGGGACAAGGGATGGAGGGACAGGACACAGGGAATGGCTCCCACTGCCAGAGGGCAGGGCTGGATGGGATATTGGGAATGAGGAATTGTTCCCTGTGAGGGTGGGCAGGCCCTGGCACAGGGTGCCCAGAGCAGCTGTGGCTGCCCCTGGATCCCTGGCAGTGCCCAAGGCCAGATTGGGGCTTGGAGTAACTTGGGATAGTGGAAGGGTTAAGGCCCCTTCCGACCAAAGTCATTCCATGATTTATGGCAGTGCCCAGCTTCTCCTGTGATCTGAGCAGAAAAGCTGTGACTGAATTGTTCCTGTCCTGCAGGAGCAGCCCTGGAAATAACCAGGGCAGCAGTTGGTGTGGGGAGGGAAAGGGGCTCTGCTCTCCCTGGCAAGTGTGACTGCTGCAGCCTCAGGTATTACTCTAAGTAGTGGAAGGTTTAACAAGACCTGTGCTTAGCACAGTTTGTGTCCTGAAAAGGTCGTGGTGCCCATTTTGAACACTCTTTGTGCTTCCTCAAGTAACACTGTTCTCTTTGCCCTTCCCTGTGTTCTTCCCCTGTTCCAGAAATCGCCGCACAAGGTGGTTGTGGCCAACCCACGGATATTCCCAGTAAGTCTCTCATGGCCTGTCTTATCTTCTGTCACACACACAGGAAGGGGTTTCCAGGGAGCATCTGGGAAATGTCCAGTGACAGCTTTCCCAAGGGATGTGCTGGGTCCTGTGGGCAGCACAGCAACAGTGGGTTTGGGCACTTTAATCTTGTCTCAGTCCCTGTTTCAGTGTCACCTCTCTGTAGCACCTGGCTGATGCTGCCCCTCCTGGGTGGGAAATACAAACATTCCCTTTGGGAATGGGTGTTCACAGCCCCAGTGATTATTAACAACATGGAATCACACAGGAGTGGCTCTGCTTCTCCTTGTTAAGCCCTGAGAATGTTGGTTCTGGCTTGGTCCCACTTGTCCCTGAAGGTGCCCCACACTTGGGTGTCCCCAAAGAGCTGTGTCACCTCAGCTTAGGACAAGTTTCATGAAGCAGAGAGTGTCACAATGTTTGGTATTTTCTGTTTCCAGGCTGCTCTGAGCTGTTACTGATTGGTGTGACAAGTCAGAGGGCAAATATTCCTACAGAAAATCAGCTCTGCCCTTTCTGACTGCTGCCCATATTTGGCATAACACCTCCTAATCAGCTCTGTCTAAAATAAAATTATAAATTATTACATCCCACACAGCCACAAAACAATATGCTGAAGGTCAAGCTGTTGGCCTCTGTCTTCAGCCTCATTTTTCAGTTGAGTTAGGGCAGCTCAGCAGGCCAGGACTGTGCCTGGAGCTGGAACAGGTGGCACTGGGGCAGCAGGTTGATTTTTGAGGAATTCCATGGCTCCCCATGGGCTCTGGGCCACGGGTTTGGACTCACTGATCACTGCTGGAGGGAATTATGCAGTGCTATAAGTAATTTTTAAAACAAAGCAGGCTCAAAATGTGTGGCTGCTGTAGTGAAAACAAGGGGTAAAGCAAGCACAGGCTCCAGGAAATTTTGCTGTGATGTTATTCCAGCATTGTGGGGATGTTGGGGGAATGAGAATGTTCTGAGTGAGTTGTGGTGAGATTCTTGCCTGGAAGTGGGGACAGCTGCAGGTTCCCTGAGGGACTGGGCTGTGTGGGGGGAGTCTGGGTGCCATAGAGAATGCTCACCATGCTCTCTTCCCACAGGGAGACAGGATTTTAGAGACTGGAGAGATCATGCCACCCCTGAAAGATGAGCACCACAGGCACCACTGATGGCCAGGAGCTGATTTCCTCTGTGGGGGAACATGGCCAGAGCTGCACCTGCTGTGTCTGTTCCATAAAAGAGTGTTCATTGTGCATTGTCTCAGCTCCTCTGTCATTTACTGTCCCATTAATCTGTGTCATTCCAGGTGCTCCTCCTGTGGGAGTTCATTATTGCTGGATCCTGGGGATCTCCAAGGCCCTTGCCCAGCTCTCAGTGAGACCTGGCAGAAGGACAGTGTGGGCTTGGGGTGACAAGAGAGACACTCTGGATCTCAGGGATTTTGGAGCAGAGCTGAGCCCCTCACACACACTTGGTTCCCCTCTCCCACTCTACCAACTCCTGACAGACTTCCAGACATTCCACCTGTGTCATCCCACCTCTCTGCCTAGGGGGGGTGGCAGAAGAGGCCCTGCTGCCAAAACCCCTTTTTACCATTCTTCCCTCTGCCTTCAGCTCTTTCTGAAGAGTCTTCCAGCCCCCACATCCCTGGGGCACTTTGCACTGGGAGGACTGGTCTCTTAAAGAGCAGTGATCCCTGTGGATCCCTCCCAGCCTGACACATTCTATGATTTGAAGGCTTTAGTAGGTACTTTGGGGATAGAAGTGGTTAAACCACAATCCAAAGGGTAACCTGGGTGCCTGTGACACAATCCCCTCATGGAGCCATGAGAGAGCAGCCCAGCCCGTGTGTGTGAGGAGCAGGGGACAGGTCAGAGCCCCTGTACCCTGTTTGGGGACAGCCAGACCCCTCATAATGGAGTAGGGACTGGAACCATCAGGGCCGTGGCAAACACAGGGAAAACCCCAGCACTCAAAGGAGATGAGGGGGGCCATGGACCCCAGGCCCTGCCAAAGCCACATCCCTTTCTTTCCTTGTGCACACAGTGGCTCAGGGTGGGACAGCACTGAGGAATGAACTGGGGGGCAGCAGGATCCTGTGGGTCATCCCTGGGGAAGGTTGGGGGTCACTGGGGGGGTGGGAGAGTGAGCAGGGGCTGTAGGGGAGCGCTGGGAAAGCAGAGAGTCAGGGGGAGCCTGGGTGTTGAGGGGTGCTGGGGTTGGTAGAGGGGCTGCAGGGGGATGAGACCTGTCCTTCCCAGGGCCTTGGGGGTCCCTGTCACCACCCCTGCCCCAAGGTGTGCCCAAGGGCCACAGTGAGCCCACCTCCCTGACCAGTGACCAGGGGACACCTTCCCTCCCTGGGGTCCCCTGACACCCCCACCCCACTGAGGACAGCTGGGGTACCCCAAATCCCTGAGTCCCCGTGCACTTGTGCAATGCTTGTGAGGAACTGGGGACTGTGACATCTGGGGACACCACACACCTGGGGGGATAGATGCCTGATACTCCCAGAGCTCCCAGGTTCCCCCAAGAATGCCCTGATACTCCCAGGACTCTCCAGTTCCCCTAAGGAGATGCTGACAACTCTCCTCCTCTAGTGAGAATTCCCCCAGGACTGCAGGAATTCCTCATACCCCCAGAGTGCTATGAACACTCCCACAGCTCCAGCAACCCAAGAGACACCCCAATCCCCCATGTCCCTGTGATATGGGGCCCAGGGGGCCATTTTAGGCACAGACTCAGTCCCAGGGACAGGTGTGGGGCCCTGGGATCACCTGGGGGTTTTGGAACAGATAATCCTCCCTGAACAGAGGGGATGGATACCTTTCCCTCAAGCAGGGAGAGGTTTGAGTGTCATTACCACATAAAAAAAGACAACAGAGCACCTTGAACATGTCCTGGCCCAGCTGCAGCAGGACCATTCTCCATCCCCTGAGCTTTCCCTCTGCAGGTGACAGCACGTGGTGCTGGGCAAGCAGGAGGAACCACGAGCCTGGTGTGAGCCCAGGCACTGCTGACAGCTGCTGGAACTGTGCAAGGACCATGTGCCTCCACAAACACAGGCTGCATCTCCCCTGGGCCATCCCTGCCCCTCTCAAAGTCACCGAGTCCAATTTCCCTCACACCACAAATGTGGGAGATGCATTCTCTTGACAATGAAAGCAAAATCTGGGTTTGTACCACACTGTTCCCTCAGGTGCCCTCAGTGTTGCACGTACAGGTATTACACACAACACTAGATCTACAAAACTTTGAGATCCCTACCACTAAAAACATATCACTGGCCAGTGATAGATGCACTCATGGATAATCACAGTGTCATGGAGTGGTTTGGGTTGAAAGAACTTTAAATCTCATCTTGATTCACCCCCTGCCATGGGCAGGGACACCTTTCACAGTCCCAGGGTGCTCCAAGCCCTGCCCAGCCTGGTTTGGACATTTCCAGGGATCCAAGGGCAGCCACAGCTGCTCTGGGCACCCTGTGCCAGGGCCTGCACACCTTATACAATATATATACATTATATATTTAGTCAAGGGTTGCATTTCCTTGTTAAGATAGAAGATTAGAACCAAATTTAAAAATTATTAGCAGAACTACAAAACTTTTGTCAGCAAAACAGAACTACAAAAGTTTTGTCAACAACTTTTTCAGTTCATGTTCCTTTCTCCTCTTTAGATGTATAGAAAGGGTGAGGTGTAAGAGTGTGCCCCCTGTTGACAGAGTGACAAAACTATCCTTTGTCCCCTCAAAAAAGAAAGAAGCCCAGAAGTTTCTCTCCTCGATTAGCTGAAAAAAGCCACCTCATAGGCCCAGGGGACTTCACCTCAAACTTAAAGACATCTAATTAAACAGAAGCCAAAAAGTCCCATCTAAGCAATTAATTTTTTAAAAAAGGAAAACAAAGAAATGAATGGCTTTGTAAAGTGTTTTACCAGGAACAAGAACGTCTGACACCCAGCTCCCTTTTTCTGTTTGTTATTTTGCCTTTTATTAAACCTTTTTGTTTCCAACACTGCAACAAAAGCCATCCTACCAATTTTTATGCCTCCAAAGATAGCTGAGCTATCTTAGGTGTGTTAGAGACCTCCAAGAACTTATTAAACCTAACTCAAAGAAGCTGCTATAACACTTCCTTGCACCTGCCTTGCACCTTCCATTGCAACAGCTCAAGGAGGAGGATCTCCTCCCAAAACAATGATGGATCTAAGGCTTTCTGTCCTGCCCTCTGACAGCCACCAGGACCTGCAGCTGGGGGGTTGAGGGCAGGCACCAGGAAAAGCCACTTGCCAGTGTGAAGGTCACAGCACTGGTGAGAACTGAGGGAAAGCTCAGTCAAGCTTGGTGTCCTGGGAAATCCTGTGGGAGATCCTGGCATGTGGAACACGCAAACCCTTCCTCTCTCTCACCTGAGGTGCCTCAGGCAGGAGCTGCTGGTTCCAGCAGTGCCAGAACACAAGGGGAATTCTCCCTGTGCATCCTCCAGTCCTTGCCAGCCCTGGGTGTGTGCCCTGGCCTTGGCCAGCTGGGCCTGCTCCAGGCCACCTCCCATGCTCTGGGGTGTCCCATGGCACAGCAGCTCGGGATCAGGGCCAGGGGAGCTCACAGAGACATCCAGAGCTGTGTCTGGGCTGACACACATCGATCCATGGCTGCTTGGACCTCACTGTGCCAGTCCATGGTGTGGGGATGGTGCCTCAGGTTTAACTTTTCTGGTTTTCAGATTCTGCCCTGCTTTGGTGTGCATTTCTGAACTTTGTATTAGGGGATGGTGAACTCTCTGCACAGAGTAGGGAGACAAAACAATTTCTCCTCTAGCTGGGGATCAAGGACAAATGATCCAAATCTCAGGCCCAAGAGCACAAACAATGGAGAAAAATAAGCAGGATGGGACTGCACAACCTAAAGCTGTCATTGGATAATGAACTCCAATATGTAAATAGACTAGAACTTATAAAAGTGAGAGACCCCATGACCAGTGGTGCATTTTGTGACCATTTTGGTTCACCTTGGGTGCAGCCCTGGCTGGGCTCTCGTGCTGCCCAAGGTGGATCCATTGAGGCCTCCTAACAAATCCCTGCTTTATTCTGTAACTGTGTCCAGGCTCTGTTCTAGGTCAGCCTGCACAGGACATCAGGGAGAGCTGGCAGACACTCTCCTCTGTCAGATTTGGGTGGGGGAGAACCTTTACAGCCAGAGGAAAGCAAGGTTTGTATGGTCAGGAAAAGCTCAGGATGGTCCAGGCAGCTCCAGGAAAAGCCCTGGAATGGTTTTAGGAGGCATGGCAGGTGGAGAAGCTGGGCAACAACACTTGAAAATGATTGTTTCTGTGATGAGGTTTGCTCAGGGCAGAGCAGGAGGTGACATTGCTCTCACCTTTCATTCCCAGGAATGCAGTTCACTGCAATATTGATGCCTCTGCTGCACCAACTGAATGTTAGATCCACTTTATCATCCATGACAGGAACAGGAATTTGTCTGGAATAACTGGAAACATCTGTCTTTCTGCAGTGCTCACAGATGTGATGGGCACTGCCAGTTATGGGCCTCAGTTTATCCAGCTAAAATTAGGGAATGTGGATCCCAGTTCATTGAATTTCTGACAGGCTGGGAGAGCTGGGGGTGCTCACCTGGAGAGGAGAAGCTCCAGGGACACCTCAGAGCCCCTGCCAGGGCCTGAAGGGGCTCCAGGAGAGCTGGAGAGGGACTGGGGACAAGGGATGGAGGGACAGGACACAGGGAATGGCTCCCACTGCCAGAGGGCAGGGCTGGATGGGATATTGGGAATGAGGAATTGTTCCCTGTGAGGGTGGGCAGGCCCTGGCACAGGGTGCCCAGAGCAGCTGTGGCTGCCCCTGCATCCCTGGCAGTGCCCAAGGCCAGGCTGGGCAGGGCTGGGAGCAGCCTGGGACAGTGGGAGGTGTCCCTGCCCATGGCAGGAGGTGGGATGGGATGGGCTTTAAGGTCTCTTCCAACCCAAACCTTCCCACGATTGTAATTCCTAACTGAACACACTGAAAACATCCACTTTTTGAAACCCCTTTCTAACTGGGCCAAGTTTGCTTCACACATTTATTCTCCAAATAAAGATGGCCAGGCTGGTGACATAATTCCAGCCAGGAACTCCCTGTCATGCCAGGGCTGGGCTCTGTGCTGTGAGGATGTTGAAGCCCACAGGAGCTGCAGGGGCTCGTTGGACTTGATGATCCTGGTGGGTCCCTTCCAGCTTGGGATATTCCGTGATCCTGTGATTTTGGGGATACCTGCTCTGTGCTTTCCTCAGACACTGCTGGAGCACCAAGCCTTCAGTTTCCCCAGATCAGGAATCCCATCTGTGAGTGAGGGCAGCATGGGGCTGCTCCTCCCCTGGGCCACCCCAAAGAACAGCAGCTGAACTGTGTCTGCAAATAAATGTGTTGATATGACAAGCAGTCACATTTTACAG